TTATTGTAAAGATACTATACAGAAGGGTCACAGTTACATGAGCAAGATAATGAGTACATTTCCTACGGAGCATTGTTACCCCCTCCTTTGTTTTTCCCTTATGGTCCCTTACCTCTCCCAACACTCCCCTGCCCCCCACCCCCCGCAAAGTTGTAAAGTTCATTTTCAAACATAGTGTCTTGTACATCTAATTGTTAGAATGGGTCATCCTGTATCCTTATTTCAGCATTTTGTTATTTCCCTTCCCCTCCCCAAATTAGAAAAATGTATATACAAGATGCAGGGCACTGATATCAAATACAGTGACAACAGGGGTTATACATACAAAGAAACAAAAAGAAAATCGCACAGTACATTAAAAAGAACAAGAAAGATAAAATACTTTGTGTCCCTATCTTGGGGTACATTTTGCTTAGCATCAGGTTATATGGTCATATGTGCATAGCTTTTGACCTCTTCTGCTTATCCTAGACATATACTAGTTATTGAAGATTATTGAAGATAAGGGATAAATCTTAAGGACTGACATATATTTTTCTCCTTTCTGAAAGTTGAGTTTATTTAAAAATCTGAATTGGCAAAATTACAAGTTACTTTTTCATCAAATACCTATGATGTTAAGAATTTACAAAAGGCTTTTATAGAGTATGAAGTACATATATATAGAAAACTCGTAGATATCACTTACCTGAAATGTAAACCAGAAAAAAAAATTTTAAATTAGTATAAACTGGTTCATCCAAGTTCGCAGTTTACTTTCACAACGTAGGTGTGTAGACACTTTATTTAGATGTTTAATTTTTTCCCATCTGTTCTGTCAGGCTTCCTGATTGAATAGTGAGCACTGTAGGGCACACAGCCTCCTATTATCGCTGGCCTAAGGGGCAGCTAAGAAAGGCGTCTCCTAGTCTCCCAGCACATCCTGACAGGTGAAAGCATGTTGGATTAAAATGGCTTCTGAAATACCTATTACCAAATAAATGTTTACATTGGACCTTTAATTGATGGTCTCATTTTAAAACACATAGTTTTATCAGTAGCCTCATTCTTTGAAACTAGTAAATACTCAAGAGTTTATCTGAGGTAATTTAGTGTTTTTCCACCTAGTTGTTTTATGCAAGCGGACTTACCAAATATTACAGAATATTGAGCATTAATTGATGTTCGCTGCAACTTCCTTAGATCTGAGGTCTGACTGTATCTTGAAGTAAAGCAATTTCTGGATCCTAGTAGAAACATGGAACTCAGCCTATTTCCTGAAGTTGTCACTCTGATTTAGATTTCATATGAGCTCTCATGTCCTACTAACATTAGTGTGTCATTAGTGTTACAAATTCTGTCTTGTCCTTTATCTGTTTAGACATTTGTGTTAAATGTTGGTGTAAAGTGTGACCTACATCTAAGGTAACCAAGGACAATAGGGAAAGGAGGAAGTTAATCAGATGTCACTGTTCATAATTGGCCTTGAACTGCATATGAAAGTCAGAAATAATGAATTTATGGAAAAGAGACGCTTTAGATTAACTCATCAAGATAACTCTTTTAGTAAATCATTTGTCTGGAAGCATGTTTTCATCTGTATTTACATCCAATGATAAATGATATTTTAATAGAGTTGAAATGGTCTACCATTGTGACTATTATTGTACCTCTACTTTATCCCTGAGATCAGCTTTCTCTTATAGCAGTGAAAAAAATTGCCCTTTCACTAAGAAAAAACAGAATTACAACACTGACTGAGATTCCAGAATTTGAAATGGGTATGTTACTGTAATTTTAGAAAGAGAAGTCCTTTTCATGAGAAAAATTTTCTTCCAAAACTAATATAAGGGGCACAGGAATGAAGGGAGTGGGAGCAGATGCAGACATTGTACTCTGTGTGCCTCCTGCAAAGTGATCTACGTAGCTGGGGGTGGGGAGAGATGGGGAAGCAGCGAAGGGACCAAGAAGCGTGTAACTCATAACCTGTCTTATGGATGGTAACTTCTTTGTACAACCACTTAGTTTACAAGAAACAAAACTAATATAGAGAGTGGAGAAAGGGGTGACGTTGTCTAAAAGTGTACTCATTACCTGACTTATAAACTGGTAACCTCTCTGTACACCTACCTTTATAAATAACAGTTCAAGGAAATTTAATAATAAATGTAAAAACGAATATAAAATAGGCAGTTGGGTTTAAAATAATTTGATTTGGGGATTTTTCAAAGTATTTCATAGTACTCTGTTTTTAAATCATTTAGACTTAAGGACAAAGAAAGATTAATATGTGTAGAGGGAGGATGGTTCATATTCCCATAATTGAAAATTATTATTTCTTGTAGATTTTATCTTCCACATAGCTATCAGGGGAGAGGAGTTGAATACAAATCATTGTTTTTCATTGGTGAGCAAAATCTCTTAAGTAGTGAGGGTTGACTGGTTGTAGGAGTGTATTGCTCAGTAAGGCATTACATCAGTGTTGCTGGGTATGAGGTTCAGCAGACAGTCCTGCTTACAGTACTGTGTATTTGAGTGTCAGTTAAAGCAGGTATTCACAGAAGCAAAGCTGCTTATTGTGAGAATCTGATTATTTTACAGAGCTAAATGAAACATTATATCTTACAAAATAGATTTTTTTCATAAAGCAGTTTTATTTTTCAGTTGCGTATGTCTCTTTAGAAATGAAAAGCCTCTTTTTATGTGCTCACTTTCTCTTCTGGCTGCAGACCAGGTATTTAAACAAAAATAACGGATTGCCAGTTTTACCAGCTGGGGATGAGAACCCGGCTGCTGAAATGTAGGTTCGGGAGGCAGTTAGTCCAGCTTTTATGCTTTTTATGCTTGTGTGAAAAAAGAGGTTAAAAACCACATTTGGCTCCTTTTTGTGTGTGCCACTATTTTGTTCGTGCTGTAGGAATGCAGTTAAAGAGTACTTAAATTAAAAAAAATTTTGTTTGGTTACTAGATAGAATCCTGCATTATGATACATAAATTCTCACAAAACATTACATTCTGTTAATTGGCCATGAGACAGGCCTTGAGCCACCAAAAGTCCCTGGTGTTCCACAGATAGATAGCGGCATTTCCTGTGACGGATGAACAGAACAGAGTTCCTCACACTAAATCTTAGGGTATTTCTTGATTTCCCCATGTTCTCAAGTTACTCATTACAAACAAGTAGAAATTTTAAATATGTTTTGGCCAGTGATGAAAACTAGGATTTCTTGTTCCTTTAGAATTTTTTTTTTTTAGTTTTGAAATTGTTTCTGGAAAAACAGTAACTGTACTTGTCTAAGTTTCTAATTCATTTCCTAGACATGTTTTTTATTTGTTTTTATTATTATAAAAATTATATACAGAGGGATTACTTTTCATTTTGGATAATGTCAGTTCTTCCCTCGCTTTCTCCCAGTTTTTCCCACCTATCCACCTAAAAGTTGTATATTTTCAACATAGTGTCTAGTGAATATCACTGCTGCATTTGTTCCTAGACCTCTTTAGCCATGAAACATTTTTACAATTGAATTTTTAAAAATTACAGTACTCCAAAAATGCTTACTGAATAGATCTTTAAGTAACATACCATTCTTCTGAGATCTTAGCCTTAATCTTTATTCTGTCTTCAAATGTACCTTTCATGATATTTATAGGTTGCAACGACATAACTGCTAAATGTATTTGCAATTCAACAATTTTAATTAAAACCAAGAAGGTTTTTTAATTGATGTAATTCATGTTTGTGATTTTTTTATCTGATTTGCCTTAAAGCTTCAGAAGCTTAAGTAAGCTTAAAGATTTTTAAAGCATATTCATTTAAAAATACTTGAAGTTATCTATTCATGAGGAATGTTTCAAGTAAGAAACAAATATGATAAAAATGAGTCAAATTGTAAATGATCATGTTCTGATTTGAATAGATCTAACATAATAAAAGTTATACTTTAATGTCACCTCTTTTTTTCTTTTTTGGGGGGAGTAGGGGAAGTTGGGGACTTGATTGAACTCGGGGGCTGTTGCTCTTGCTTGGCTTTTTCCACTCAAGGCCTGGTTCACTACCACTTAAGTCACACCTCTACTTTGGCTTTTCGCTGATTATATGGAGATAAGAGCCTCTTAGATTTGTCTGCCCAGGCTGGGTTTAAGTGTTAATCTCTAGGTCTCAGCTTCCTGAGAAGCTAGAAATACAGGCGTGAGTCATAGGTGCCTGGCTAATGTCTAAAACTTCTTTTGCATCTGATTTTTTGTTTCTGGCAATACTGGGACTTGAACTCAGGGCCCGTTGCACTCTCACTTGCTCTTTTTGCTCAAAGCTGGCACTCTACCACTTGGAGTTTTGGGGCTGCTTAATTGGAGATAGGAATCTCAGAGACTTTTCTGCTTAGCTGTCTTTGAACCTCAAGCCTTAAGTCCCAGCCTCCTGAGTAGCTAGGATTACAGGTATGAGCCACTGGCACCCAGTCTGTCTTCTGTATTTTGAGAGACAAATGTAAGGGTACATACCACACAGATTTTAGGTCTGGGATTTGGGTTGTGTTTGCGTTAATGAAAGGGTTGTTTTGAATTATTGAGACTCTGAATGCTAAAACTGGTTACAACCCAAATAACAAAACTTTGTTTTCTTCAGTGTTCTGTCTCTAGTACCATCTAATTTTATGTTGTTAAAGTCTAGATTAGTGGGACTGAGAATGAAAAATTGAGTCAACCTCAGAGGATGTATATAGATATGCTGCTACATTTTTTTATTTGATCCGTGGATATGCTTATTCACTTCAGGGTTGTGTGTGTGCATGGATGAGTGTGTGTGCATGCCCCCTTTGTAATATACTGACGGTTTCTGTGATATTGCACATACTTGCATAGGTTACATCTTTTGTAGGATGTATCATAGGTTAAAGGTCAAGACGTTAGACTTATCTAAGCCTTAGAAGTCAGGGCTCACTTTCTGTAAGCCTTGTTTTTTTCACTGTTCTTGAAAGGCTAGCATACAATAATGAGTCACTTTGCTGATTTGCTTTTAGGTGTTGGAAGATAATGACTATGGCCGAGCTGTGGACTGGTGGGGCCTTGGTGTTGTCATGTATGAAATGATGTGTGGAAGGTTACCCTTCTACAACCAGGATCATGAGAAACTTTTTGAACTAATACTTATGGAAGACATAAAATTTCCTCGAACACTCTCTTCAGATGCAAAATCATTGCTTTCAGGGCTCTTGATAAAGGATCCAAATAAACGGTAAGCCTCAAATCATGCTTGCTGCATTATTGTTGGGTATGGTTAGAAACCGTGATTTGGAAATCAATTCAAATAAAACTAATTACAAAAAGCAATGTACTTAGTGTAGACATCTTCCCACTGAGATAATGAATTATTTTTAACCACATAATATAGATAATGTAAATTTTTCATCAAAGTCTCTCTCAGTGGAAATTTTATGTGGATTCACAAAATGTCCACATTATGTGTGGACAGTTTCTCAGTTGACCATGGCTTGATCTTCCCCACGGTATTCCCCCGGCCTTCCAATCTCTGCTGGTTCACTTTGTAGAAAGAACAGCCGTGCTGCTCTCCACTCCCTACTTCTCTCCCATTCCCAGCCCGTATTCACACTGCTAGCCCTGTTTTTGCCAGTTACTTGAAAGCATTATCTTTCCACATGGGGCCGAAAGGAGTTCTGCTTTTGTAGCTCCTTCTCTGACCTCAGGGAGTCTCTGCTGCTTTGCTCAGTTAGCCACATATCCTTTGTCCTGTTACTTCACTCATGGGGCGTGTGAAATGACTACTGACTTTAAGGTGTCTTGTAATACGAGCAATCTTATTAGGGGCCCTCCACCCAGGTGTCTGTGCACACCTAACAGCTTCTGCAGGTAATGAACTGAAGCACTGAGCCTGTGATTTCCCTGAGTCCCATCTCATCTAGAGTTTGTTTGTGGCTCCTGACAAATAGATTTACTGAGTGACCGAACAAATGAATCCTGAAATTTGAGTTTCCCAGCCTTTCTTAACTCTCCTCGGCAGCTCTGACTGCCATGGGCACCTCTCTAGAGGCGTATACAACAAAACTGAATTCATGGTTCCCATGTCCATGTCCACCCTGTCTGTTTACCATTGGCTCACTTCCATCCCAGTGAACAAAGGCCAGGTGAATTGCTATAAATCGAGATGCTGGATACATAGTGTCTCCTGCCAGAGGTCAGTGGTGCTCCAGAGACAGAAGGCAGTATTCGCAGCCACTTGCTTCGTTGTTTCCTAAGATGTGCGCCAGGCCCCACTGTGTTGCTCTACAGAGTCCAGGACACAGACCAGTGTAAGCACGTCCCTGCCATAGACACTCGGGCATCGATGAGGCCCAGCGCATCCACACATGCTTGCTGGTGCTCAGTGCTGTCAGGGTAGTTAGTGAGGTCTGGGGTGAGCTGGCCCAGGAGTTTGGGTTAGAGGTGACACTCAGGAAGGCAAATTGACATGTGAAGTGTGGCTGGGTTGCAAGTTGAGAGCTCAGCTGTCAGGGATGAAGCTGTGATGTTAGTTATAAGGACCTTATGTTTCTTAGAGGACATTTAGTGTTTATTCACAAAATGATGAGAAGCCATGAGGGTATTTTAAATCAAGATTTGTATTCTGAAAATGTAATTCTGAAGTGAGCGCTGGTGGCTCACACCTATAATCCTAGCAACTCAGGAGGTTGAGATCTGAGGATCGCAGTTCAAAGCCAGCCCTAGCAGGAAAGTCCATGAGACTCTTGTCTCCAATTAACTAACAGAAAACCCAAAGTGGAACTGTGGCTCAAGCATAACCTTGAACAAAATAGAGCTCAAGGACAATGCCCAGGCCTTGAGTTCAAGCCCCATGACTGACAGAATAAAAGAAAGGAAAGGCTAATTCTGGCAGCTTTGAGGTAGACTGATGAAGAAGAGCGAGGAGCAGGGAAGGAGAGCAGTTAAGAATTCCTGTGGAGCCAAGTGTGGTCGCACGTATCTATATATAGTCAGCATTCGTAGACTGAGGCAGGAGGACCGAGTTCTGTGTCAGCCTGGGCTACAGAACGAGGCTGAGTGTAAAAAATAAAAAGAAGCCAGGCCTGAAGCCTCATACCTGTGCTTGCTACTGGGAAGGCTGGGGTCCGGAGGGTCATAGTTCTAGGCCAGTTTGGGCAAAAAATGTTTAAGATTCCCATATCAGTAGCCCGGCACAGTGAAGCGTGCCTGTCATCTCAGGTACTTGGGAAGTATAAAAACGAGGACTATGGACCAGGACAACTTGAGCAAAAGCAAGATCCTATTTGAAAACAAAAAGAACTCTAAGAGTACCTCAAATGTTAGACTACCTGCCTAGCAAGCCACAAGTCCTTAGTTCAAACCCCAGTTCCCCTTACAGTAATAATGAAAATTGGGGTCCTTCCTGAGTGCAAATGATAACACAGAAATGATGAATTTGGGAGTCAGGGGTAGCTAGAAGGTCTCAGAGTGACTAATTTAAAGAACGAGGTGTTGTTGACTCAAGGAGCATGAACTAGTGTTGATGTCAGTGTTGATGACAAGCATGCAGCTGGATAATACCAGCACTGAAAAGAAAAGAGACCAGCCATTGATCGTATGGCTTTGGGACCCAAGGACATCTAGGAGCCTCCTAGACTGTAGAGAGAAGCGGGCCTGGGCAGAACCCTGGGCATGTCCAAGTTCACAGGTAAGAAAAAGCCATCAAAGGACACTCCTGGGAGGTCTGAGAAACATGCCAGTATCATAGACTGCTTTCTTCCCCTGGTCAGGTTCTTTAAACTCAGCCTGGATGTGTCTAGTGTTCTTTTCCCTTGCATGGTGCCGGGGATCCACCCATATCTGGCATACAATAATTTTCCTTATATATCTTATTCTCTGTTACTTTGTGAGCATTCTATTAATTCTTTATCATCCATGCACCTTACAGGAAAAACATGCCTCATGTTGCATTTAGTATACTAGGAAAATAGGAAATCTGTGGTGTTTCTAATAGTAAATTATACATAGGCTGGGCACAGTGGCTCATGCCTATAATCTCAGCTTCTCAGGAGAAAACAAGGAGGATTGCAGTTCTAGGAGAGCTACACAAAAAGTTAGCAAGACTCCATCTTCATAAGTGATGGGGCATGCCAGTTAACCCTAGCTGTGTGGGAAGAGATCATAGTCCAGGCCAGCTCTGGGCAAAGCTAGGAGAAGAAAACTAAAGCAAAAAGAGCCGGAGGTATGGCTAAATCAGTAAACCATCTACCTGGCAAATGCATGGCCCTAGTACTTCCTCCCCCCCCCCCCATCCCTCGGCCAAAAACAAAAAATCTATGGGCTCCAAGGATTTGTTTTGACATTATGATATTGACATTGAAAGTGTTAACAGCTTCACTCTGAAGTTATATTAATGAATGTCCCCTATCTAAAACAACAATCAAAGTTTATAATCTTAGACTTTGCAAGTCTTTTTGAGCAATATTTTGTGTATATATTTGGTAAATTGTGCTAGCCATATCCCAAACCAAATTTTTACTGAAGAACTGAGATTTCAGCGGGGTGCTAGTGGCTCACATCTACAATCCTAGCTACTCAGGAGGCTGAGATCTGAGGATCACGGTTCAAAGCTAGCCTGGGCAGAAAACTCCATGAGACTCTTATCTCCAATAAACCACTAGAAACCCAGAAGTGGTGCTGTGGCTCAAGCAGTAGAGCACTCACCTTGAGCTGAAGAGCACAGGGACAGCACCCAGGCCCAGAGTTCAAGCCCCACGACTGACAAAAAAACAAACAAAAAAACAGATTTCATTCAAAAATAAATAACAAGGTAGATTAAAACTTTTCATGAAACGGTTAAGATTCTGTGTTCAGTTCTCACCACCTGTACCATGTCAAGAACACATCAAAAAGAGTTAGTATTACAAACAGTAAAACTGTGAAGCACCAACCCATTGCAACACCAGTGTAGGAAAGTACATGGGGTTTTGGCTGTTTTTCATACAGACTACCTTTTTTCCTACAATAAAATATTAACTTCTTTTTAGAAACGAGTGCTTTGGTTATTCTGCTTTTCTTGTCCTCTTTGTGGACTTAGAATACCTTTTGGGCAATCAAGTACTGATGTTTGTCTCCAGAAGTTCCCAGCCTATTGGAAGAGATGAACTTACCTGAAGCAGAGTGAGAGGGAACAGAATGCATTAATAGAGATTCCACCAGACAAAATGTGCCAGATGTGAGCATAACAGCTGTAACATGAGGCAACCTTAAAACTTGTCTCTGTGATGTAGTTCATTTAGAGATTTCCAGCTAGCGTTCACAGCGGTGACCCCTCTCTGGGAGCCATCATCAGCAGAGAGCCAAGTGTCAACCAGTTATCGGATGTTCTATCGTTGTGTCACCTGTTTCTTCCTCATGACAACCAGAACTTGTGAGAAGTAACTGCCACTTACCATGACCTGTTTGGTTTCCCTTCTACCTACTAGTATATTATAGTTGGTAGGTACAAGCTTACCAGAACAAAAGGGTAAATTTTCAGGAATGTTGTAGGCTAGATATTTAATGTATTTGTCATTATTAAAAATAAACCTAGGGCTGGGAAGGTGGCTCAGTGGTAGAGTGCTTGCCTTGCATGCCTTAGGCCCTGGGTTCGATTCCTCAGCACCACATAAGCAAAAAAGAAAAAGCTGGAAGTGGCACTGTGGCTCAAGTGGTAGAGCGCTAGCCTTGAGCTGAAGAGCTGAGGGACGGCGCCCAGGCCCAGAGTTCAGGCCCCACAACCCGACCCAAAAAATAAAAATAAACTGCATAAATTCATAAAGAAGAGTGAATCAAAGGACTAAATACTCAAAATTTATCACTCCCTATTCGCTTAGTTACATTTTACTGTTTTCTATGTTTTGAAGTCGTATCTTCATGGAGACTATATTGACAGCTCCTATGACAGCTTGAAACTGGCCTGGTGAAAAAGACATGCACCGCCAGAATTGGCCAGTGCTGTAAATCAGGGCTTAATTTATTGTTTTGATTTAGGTTTAAGAGAGTGTTGGAGAGCATGTTAACGGTGCAGATTAAATTTTAAAGTATGTGTTTTTTGGGGTTTTTTGTTTGTGTGTGTGTATGCATGTGTTACATTGTAAATGACACAAAAACATTATTCTTGCCCTGTTCCACAACTACTTAGCCATCAAAGAAGTCACTCATGTAACTGACAAATGAAGTTTGATATGTGTCTCTGTTATGTGACTTGCATCTGTGACTTTAATGAACAAAAACATCAAACTGTGATCACATCAGAACTGATCCAGAAGCATTTTCACTGTAGTTGACTTTAAAGTTGAATAAAAACTAACAAAAGTTTTCAGTGAGTTTGTTTTAAAGTAGAAGTATATTCTTTGTAAATTGTGTTCAATTGTATTTATATTAATACTTTATAATAATTTATAACACCCATACATGGTTTTCCATGTATTTATCAGCACATATAATTTCTTGGAGCAGTTGAAATAAATCTGACTAAACTGACTGCATTAAGTTCAGAATTAAGCTCCTGGCCTTGCCTTATTTTTTATTTTTCCTTTTTTTCTTTTCTTGTTAACTTTTTTTTTCTCACTCCCCCGCTCTTCCTCTCTCTCACTTTCCCTCTAGTTTTTCCTTAGTGACTCAAACGTGCTTCATGAAACTGAGGAAGCCAGAAAGGACTTGCATTTCCTATTATGCTAGATATTGACTAAATAAGAATATCTTCAAAGACAGGGGCACTTTTTTTTTCATTTTTTAATTCATGCTATTTCATAGACTAATAGAATTCCTGTTGAATTCTCTTAAAATATGAAATAGTTCATGAGTATTTATCAGTAACAATTCTCCACAAATTATTTTCTCTGAAAATATTTCTCTGAAATCTTTCAGAATTTAAGAATAATGATACATTTTTTACTTGAGTTATCCCGAAAGGAATTTGTTTTAGACAAGTGATAGTAATAATAATAATAATGTGTTTGCTAGGCACCACCTCTGTTATTTCTAACTCTTGGTATTACCTTGGGAAGGTATGGCTGTGCCCGTGCTGCAGATGGAAAATAGAAGTGTCACATATCTCCAATGTGCCAGCAATACTGGCCCATACCATTTTCTGTTTGTTCTGACGATAGGTTTTATTAGCAGCATGTTGAGAAAATTAGATCTTATAGCAAAACTTTCTATTTTGGTGCCTGTTTATCCAAAGAATTATTTATCACATGGAAAATTGTATTTCCACCAAGAAAATGGACCTGTTGGGCTTCTGTAAATGTTTTGCACTCATTCAAGTTTGTTTCTGTCCTCACAGCCTCGGCGGAGGGCCAGATGATGCGAAAGAAATCATGAGACACAGTTTTTTTTCCGGAGTAAACTGGCAGGATGTGTATGACAAAAAGGTAGGCTTGCCCAACGAGGTGTGTGTGCACTCTGCTCTGTTGTGACTGTTGCCAGCACACTCAGGGAAGAGAACTCCAAGCATAACAGCATTTCCACTATTATACTGTAACACTTAAGTGACCAGTGGACTGCTTGGCACAAATTCTTAGTAATAATTGAAATGCCTCTTGAATCATTATTCCACATTGTCAAAGAATTTATTCTTCCTCTTCCTCCTCCTCTTCTTCCTTCTCTTCTTCCCCTTTCATATCAGTTTGCTAGTTCAGGGGATCATTACTTCTTCAATTGGAGAAAAAAGACACCTAATGTTTCCTTTTTCTTTAGGAAAATCAGCAAGCAATATAAATTTAAATTTACTCGTGTCACATTTTAGGGTAAATACAAGATTCGTTTATACAAATCTTTATTCTAAAAGGAATCTAAAAATAGTTTTAATATTTAGTAATTTAATATCTTTATTAGTCTTATTTGAGACTTCTTTGATTTTTTTTGGAAATGTTACTTTATTGCCCACAAAGTGGACATATCTTTATTTTCATTCTAATCCTATTACATGTTTTTGATACTACAATATTTTCTTAAGGACCAGAAACTCATCATGTATGCTTCACCTTTTTTTAATACTACAAATATTGTTAGTATAGGCATTATTTGTCATTTTTATTTTCAAATGCTTATATAAAATTTTAATTAAATTTTTACTTTGAATTTTTAATCTATTTTGTTTAGCCAGTTTATCTTTTTATTCCAGGTTTTCTTATTTTGTTCTTTAAATTTTCCAGATAATGACATCTGTATAGGGTTTGTTTTCTGCCAAATATTCGTCTTTACTAATCCCTTAAGAACAGTGGAATGAATTATGAAGAAGTACGGTATTTCATTTCTGCCTTAAGTTTTGGAGAGAAGGAATATGGTGATTTCCTATCCATTTCTTTTAAGCATTTGAAATAGTTGCAGCCACATTAAACACTGATTCAAACTTCAAGTCCACTCAACTCAGAGTCTACAGACTCAACATCATCATGTCACCAGACACAGTGAGGGTTTGTGAGCTTTCCCTTTAAACGTAGGCACTCTTCCCTTAAGATCCTTGACTTTGATCACAGAATAAGAATTTCTGGACAAGTCACACAGTAAGAAACCTTGGCAGAGCTTTATTGAGTAAGTAAGCAAACAGACAAACAGAAGGGCTGGGGGCACACTCTTAACAAGAGTGTGCGTGCTCTACAAGGGAGAGAATGAGAGAGAAATGAAGCTCTTTGGCTGTTAGGGCCATTTATATGATAAAGGCAAGGGGTCTGGCTTCAGAGTTATGTAAACCTAGGTGTTTCATCTTTGCTTTAATCATTCCTGGTGTTACTTTCTGGATGTTTGGGAACATTTCTTCCAGGTAAGAATGCATGCTGCCCTAAAACAGATCCTTATCCTTGAGATAAGGAAGGTGCCCTGTTACCTGCTTTTTGGGTAGGAGGTGGCTTAAGTTGGGGGGAAGCATTTTCCTCAGGAATGCATACATCCTGTCAGACAAGTGTTAATTTTTTTGTTGTTAGTGGTTGTGGGGCCTGAACTCTGGGCCTGGGCTCTCTGTCCCTCAGCTCTTCAGCTCAAGGCTAGAACTCTACCACTTGAGCCACAGCGCCACTTCTGGCTTATGTGGTGCTGAGGAATTGAACCCAGGGCCTCATGCATGCAAAGCAAGCACTCTACCACTGAGCCACTTTCCCAGTTCCCACAAGTGTTAATTCTTGGGGTGAGCAATGCACCCCTCGAGAGGCGATACATCCTGTTGTCTCTCTTTGAAGCAAAGATGGCACTTCCAGGTTTCTAAATACCATGGTTCTGAGTTGCCTTGTCCAGGCGTCATTTCCCCCTAAATGATTCTGTTCCCTTAATCTTAAGGGGGGTAAATGAATGAATATCTCCTCTATTTGCTGTAAGCTGATCATATCTAATCTATAGCCTTTTTCCCTAGTCTATCCTGCTTCATTTTCCCCTAAATGATTTTTTTCCTTAATCTTAATGGAAGTACATAAAGGAATATCTCCTGTATTTGCTGTAAGCTTGACCATACCTTATTTTCCCTCATTTATTCTGCTTTAATCATGAGAAAATAGACAAAAACAGTGGTAGCATTTTTACCAATAGTAGAAAATAGGGTGATATGACTGAGTGCTCTATAGCATCTTGACTTCAATCCTAGAATAGAAAAGGCAAATAGAGGGGGTGGGGGGGGTGGTGAAATCTCAATGAAGTTGATAGTTTCACTCAGCATTGTACTGATATTTCTTTTGTTTTTTTGTTTTTTGGGGTCTGGTCGTGGGGCCTGAACTCTGGGCCTGGGCGCTGTCCCTCAGCTCTTCAGCTCAAGGCTAGCGCTCTACCACTTGAGCCACAGTACCACTTCCAGCTTTTTTGTTTTTTCTGCTTATGTGGTGCTGAGGAAT